AATCTGTCTTTCAGCAAGTCCTTCAAGTGATCTTTGAAGCATGCTGAAGTTGGAGAACCACTCACTTCTTCTCCCATCCTCCTGGATAGTATTTCACACTGCTTCTTCTCTCTTCTAATCCCAACACCTCCTCCCCCTCCATCCTTACTTAGCAGATGCTGCCTTGCTTGCTTCGACTTCACTTCAGAGAAAACCGAAGCAATCAGGAGAGAATTTCCACAGCTCCTACCACCACCCACCGCCCACCAGCATCTGTTAACCAAAGTTAAATCAAATGTCCGTGCTCCCATCTGAAGCAGTTCAGCACTGGACACTAGTTCCCACCCCTCCTCTCCTATGCAAGGACAGCAAACCAGCACTTTCCCCTTTCTGTCCTACATCATCATTTTTTAACTGCCCATAACAGCACTCCCATCAATTTAAAACATGCTGTTATTTTTTGAAACTTAAAAGTGTTTTCTTGATCACATTGCTCGCACAAGTTATGGCTGTTTCTTTCCTCTATTGTAATAAACCTCCTTTCAAGTGTGTCTATATCAAGGACCAACTAGCCAATGATTGCCATGCAGCTTAATCTTAAGGTCAATTCTCAGTCTTTATCTTACTTGTCAGAAGCATCAGAAACAGCTGACCACTCCTTTCTGCACATAGGTTCAGTGTTCTCACTTTTCTGCTTAAGGCTCTGTCTTCAGTGCCCCCCCCCACTCTCTTTACCCTCATTTCTTTGGTGATTTCATCTGGCCTCATGGATTTATCTAATGTCAATACACAAATAACACCAAAGTGACAACTCTATTTCAGATTTTGCTTCATGCTCCAGACTACTCTATGTCTATTCAAACTCAACATATTTAAAGCTCAACCCTCGTTTTGTTTCCATATCATTATTTTACAATATATGAGAAAATTTTCTTATTTGTTAATTTTGTGTCTCCCCACCAGACTACCAATTCCTTATGGTAATGTTTTTCTTTCTTTCTTTTTTTTGACACGCGGGATTCAGCGTGTCAAAAAAAAGTAGATGAGGCTGCCCTCAAACTTGCAAACCTCCTGCCTCAACCTCCCAAGTTACTGGGATTACAGGTGTGCACCACCACACTGGCTTGGTAATGATCTTTGCCTGTTTTGTTCACTGATAGGTTCCAAGCACCTAAAACAGGGTATGGTGAAAAGTAAGTACTGTGAATATTAGTTGAATAAATCAACATCATCAGAAAGAGACAATACTGCAACCAAAAAAATAAAAATAGAATACCATAAATATAAAAGATAGAATAAGGAAAACTCCAGGAAAAGAAAAAATGAAATAGCCAATAAGAGGACTGAAAGATAAAGCTGAGATCTCAAGTAAGTAAAGCAAAAGAACAAAGAGGTGGTATAAAACGTTAGAAGAAACCAGAGACCATAATTGAAAGTTTAACATGCAAATAATAGGTGTTCAATGAAAAGGGACAAGGTCATCAGAGAGGAAAAAACATTAAAGAAATAAATTAAGAAAATTTTCTAGACTTGAAAAATACGAGTTCACAGATTGGAAGGGCCTACCAAGAACCCAGGACTAGTCCTATTATCATGACAAATGAAAAACAAAATCCTACAACTTACAAAACAACTGTACTAAACATAAGATCATGTACAAAGAAATAACACAATGGCTGTGAAATTCCAAGTGGCAAAACTGAATGCTTGCAGATAGAATAATGCTTTGCAGTTCCAGTAGGAAAGGGATCTCCAACCAAGAATTCTGTAGATAAATTGTGACTTAAGTGTCAGGACACAGTAAAGACATGTTTCAGGCAAGCAAGAACTCAAAACATTCACCTCAGCTGCAGCGAGGAAGCAGCACTGCAGATGGACAAGGCCCTTCTTTCAGCTACTGTCAGCCTCTAGAAGGGATGGATCCTGGGGGCACCCAGGTGAGCTGGACTGGTTTACTGGAGAAATGTGGAGGTTGTTTCCTTCTTTTTTTTTTTTTTTCCTTCAGGGATGCTCGACCAATGAGCCATATCCCAAGCCCTATTTTGTATTTTATTTAGAGACAGGGTCTCACTGAGTTGCTTAGCGCCTTGTTTTCACTGCGGCTGGCTTTGAACTTGTGATCCTCCTGCCTCAGCCTCTCAAGTCACTGGGATTATGGGTGTGTACCACTGTGCCCCATGGGTGTTTCTAGAAGCTTAGAGTGAAGTATTTGATAACTTCACTACAGTCTCCACTGGAAAATGATTTGCAAAGATGGCCTTGTTGGTTCTTGGAACTATTAAAAAATAAAATCTTTGATTATGGGTGAATGTATGATATGCTGTTTGGTACGTTTTATCCTCCTATGGGCAATACTTTGAAGGGTAGGCTAAGATCCTATGTGACCTGCACTTTATCTGATAACTGGTCCTATGAACCACAACATTATCTTGGACAGTTGTGGGTTAAGGGTGGGAGGTGGCACAGAGCCAGGGAGATTTCCTAAGGAACTCAACACAGAAAAGGCCAAAAGAGCTGACAATTCAGCCTCTGAGCTCTCAAATTTTGAGCACACCTAAAATTGAACATGGATATCCTCGTTTCTGTGGCATTTTTCCCTTTGAAATGCTTTGGGTCAGTGAGAATCTTACTCCCTACCCACACACACCCACTCACACAATGTGCATGCACAATACAGCTGGCCAACAGCTGTGGGCTGACAAGCAGAGCAGTGATGAAGGCTTGTGGTGATACAAGGGATTTAGTCATTTATTTGTCCTGAAGATTGAACGCAGGGCCTCGTACATTGTTGAGCACATGTTCTTGCACTGAGCTACAACTTCAGCCCAAGTATAGGATTTTGATGCTGGACAGATAGGGGTTTTCATTGTACTCTTTAGGCAAGTGAGCCTGTTTCTCCACATAAAAGTTATAATACATCAACACTTTCAGCTCCCTATTATGGAGCACTTACATGTGCTAGATACCCCCCCCCTTTTTTCATATTACTTCTTTTGGCAACTGAATATAGCAGATTCTCTTTGTCTTGACTTTTTATTGGAGTACTGGAGAATAAACCCAGGAGTGCTTAACCACCGAGCTACATCCCTAGCCCCCCTTTTTAAATTATTTTTTAAGACTGAGATCTCACTATTAAGTTGCTGAGGCTGGTTTTGAACTTGTGACCCTCCTGCCTTAGCCTCTATTTGCTGGGGTTATAGGCATGTGTCACCATGCCCAGCAATTGTCTTGATTTTATAGAAACAAAACCAAGCCTTAGGAAATGGCTTAGGTTCACACTAAGTGGTCGAGCTCAGAGGTCAACACAAGCATCAAAAGCCCCCACATTTTACCTACACTTCACTAGCCTAGCAGTAAAATGGTGTTTTAATCAGGTTTTTCATCTCTGAAAGACTTTAAAAGAACAATTAGAAGAGGAAAAGTTTATTTGTCTCAATTACAGAGATTTCAGTCCATAGAAGGCAAATTACTTTGCTCTGAGCCATGGTGAGGCAGAAAATCATGGTAAAAGAGTGTGCCCCAGGAAAGCAGCTCAGGACATGGCAACAAGAAAGCAGGATAGAGAGCAAGCTCCACTCACCAGGGACAAAATATAAACCCCAAAGCATGTCCCCAGTGACTGCCTGAACAGAATAGGCAATGAATAGAACACAGCCTTCCAGAAGCCTGATGGCCAGTTACGCAGTCTGAAACAGTGGCTGAGCAGGTAAATGATAGGCACCAACAGTTGAGTCAAATTGGAATTGACACCTGGCTCTCATCAAGAAAATCTGCTATGGAAAATTGAGACCTGCAGGTGACATCTTTCACTGTGTATTTGGGGGTCTTCCTAAATGAGCATGGTATCTGATTTTAGATTCCTCTGCCATGCTTATCTCCCACAGCATCTGTGGCTCCCTGCTTTGAGGCCCAGCTTGCCAATATACATTCTTTAACCCACAACCTGACACCTGTACCTTTTCTGGTCACAAACCACTTTGAGGCTCTGATGAAAACTAGTAACCTTCTCTCAGACAAAAACATAAAATTTTATATATCACTCAGTGGGCTCATAGCTTCCTGAAGATCATCTAAGTCCCCATCCCTACTACACATGCAGGCTCTTGCCAAATGTAGAGGTTCATAAAAGGTAGATTCCCTACAAGCTGCAGCAAGGAGCCTGGGGTGAAGAGGGGACAGTTTTTAAAGATGTTTTTTTGAGAAGCTGAACTTTAAACTTAGATAATTGTTTTCTTTTTTGATTTAGCAAATGAAACAATGGAGGTGAAACAGCCTAAGTTAAAGGTGGTTCCAATTATAACAAATGGTTGTAGAGTTCCTCCCTGCAGAGCAGGTTGTAGGGGAATGGAAATGATGAGGACAAAGAGAGAATCCCTGCATGGGTCAGCCCTGCCTTCCATTTTCTAGTTGTGTGCATATGGCCAGGTCCCAGAGCCTCTTGAGTTTCATTGGCTTACCTCTGCATCCGGCATGTGGGGGAAGTATTGAGTGCAGCTTAGAATTGCTAGGACCACTGGCAAGAATCTCCTGAACCCTGACTGTTCCATGAAGTAGGTGTGAGACTCTGGGAGAGTTCAGCATTTTCTCATTTTTTAAGAAGGTAACAATAATATTGCCCATCTCCCCATGATGTTGAGAAGATAAAGGGTCTGTCACATAATTGAAGTTCAACATTTGTGATTGTTCTTCTTATTATCCAAGTTTCAGAAAGTCTTGTTGAAATTTTTTAAAAAGGTGCATGTATAGAGCCCATTAAATATAACATCATGGGTAACCACCACATTCACATAAAAAATCAAATCTTCAGGGCTGGGGTTGTAGCTCACTGTTAAAAGCACTTGCCTTGCATGTTTGAGGCACTGGGTTCAATCCTCAGCACAACATGAACACAAATAAATAAAGATATTATGTCCATCGACAACTAAAAAAATTTTTTAAAAAATCAAATCTTCAGAATTACCTGTGTATCTCACCCATGTTACTCACACAAACAGAATGGAAAGAAATGAAGATTCCACAAGTTATCACACGAAACTGTCTTTTACTAATAAAACCAAAGAACCTCAAATGCTTTTTGTGGACTTTAGCTTTTTTCCTTCAGATTTTGAAATGGTATTGTGCATGTACATATTTTTAAATTTAGGTACATTTGGAGAACACAGTTGTGGACACAAAGAAATACAAGAAATGAATGAGATCTTCTGAAATCTGATTTCAAACACTTGTAATTATTAAACTGATGTCTGTGAATCCTGTCCTGTGAAGTATGTGCTATTTCTCTCTGCTTTTTATGACGGTGAGATCACACAGCAGCCCATGTAACAGACATGAGAAGTACGTTAACATAGAATCAAAGAACTGTACATCTGTTAATATCTAGTGGAAGGTGTCAACCCAGCTGGCTTAGAAAAATCTTTAAATAATATTTCCATTTATCCCATGAATACTTTCTTTCCCTTACTGCGTTAATTAGAAAGACTAGTAAGTATTTTTTGAACATGCGCATACGTGAACATATCCAGCATCCTGATAATTAAGAGTCACCCTTGCTGCTGCTGGACTAGAGATCCTTGGTCAGAATCAGAGATTCTACTGGCTGACTCCTCCTTGCAAAAAGCTGTAATAGAGAGCCCCAGGGAATTCCTGGAAGCCCCAATAGTTTCCCTTGAGAAACAAGACAGGCAGGGCCTCATTGGTAAGCTGGGTTGTATATTATTCTTCTGTGAAGTGGATAGGGAAGATGGGAACCTTGTTGTTTGGAAGAGATTGAATATTATGTGGGGCCTTCTACAAAACAGTTCCCGTTGGCTTGTTCATGATGGCACATCCTGCCTTTAGGTAATGACTTCCGGAGAGACCCAGTTTAAGCATAATTATGAAGACTTATGCCCATGCAAGTCATCACCCTAACATGAACAAAAATAATAATGACTTAGAAGCAAGAGCGTCTTCAATGAAGACAGTCACTAGGCATCATTTAGAAACTGAAGGTCACATGTTTAGGGTACCAGACTCTCAAATAAGGCTCAGCAATGCCCTAAAAACTGCATAAGCATGAAGGAGACTTATTTTCTAAATTTATATTATTATTTATCCTTTATAAAAGGAGTGGAAACTTGGGCTAATATTTAGACAGTCCCCTGTAGACAAGGACTAGACCATTCCAGAGTCTTCCTTTTGTGACAATGTCTTACCTTGCCTAATGAGAATTACTTAGAAAATCCTAGACCTCTTGTACCATGATGACAAACGCCCTTCTAAAAACGGCAATCTACACAATAGAATTACTAATGATATACTAATCCAAATTAATGCCCCCTTTTTTAAAAAAAATAGTCATCTGGATAATACCATAATTTTCTTGTCTAGAACCTTATGTTGTTCCCCATATGCATAAATGCAGACTAGTACTTTTAACTACCCAAAAGTGTACAAAAAGGAATATATTCATCCCAAATTTACACTTTTGATCACTTAAACTAAATTTTTGAAATAAGTTTGGTTGCAGGGACATTGGTCCAACTGAGGATCTTCCTGTTTATCACCCATCTGGAATTGTATCCACATAACCAATAAGTTATCATATTGATAAAACTGAAGTGGGGTCTGTTGTTTGTTTTTATTTTTGTGATACTAAGGATTGAACCCAAGGCCTTGCACATGCTAGGCAAATGCTCTACTATGAGCAACATCCCTAGCCCAAGGTGGGGTCTATTTTAATAATATACATCTGGGTACATGTTCTAGAATTGCCAACACTCAGTCATTACTACTTACAATGTGGTCATTAAGTTTACTCTTGGTATTATGAAATACATTCCTCAGGGCACTAGCTGCTTGAATTGCAAAGAGCTTTTGAACTTTAGGCAAAGTTCCTGAAATCTCTGCCTTGCTAGACTGGCAGCTCTAATGCACTTCCTGGGGTTTCTTAGAAACACTAAAGTGAACACAAAACACAAAGAATAAACAGTAGTCAACTGTATACTCCCCCCCCCCAAAAAAAAAGAAAAGTTCCCAACAAATGCCCTCTTGTCTGCTGTTTCTGTTTAGGTTTTGGAGTGGTCTTTCTCTCATAGTCTTCTGAAAATACCCAGGGAAAATGCTGACAGTCAGTGGGATATCACTCTAGATTATCTTTCTTTTTATTTAGAGACAGGATCTCACTGAGTTGCTTAGGGCCTCACTTTTGCTAAGGCTGGCTTTGAACTCATGATCCTCCTGCCTCAGCCTCCCTAGCCACTGAGATTACAGGCATGTACCACCATACCTGGTTATATTATCTTTCTGATACATAAGAGAGACATCACCTGACTGCTCCCCTATCTGTCAACAGAGATGACACTCCACTTTTTATGTTATATACAGAAAGGTATGGTTGCCCCCATACGCTCATGCACGCTCATCTCTGAGCTCATGTGGAGAGAAGGGCTTTCCATTTAGAACAATTTACACCTACAGACAACAAACACCAAAAAACATGCAAACACCACAGGGAACCTGAAGGTGAAGACTTCATATTTTACACAATGAGGGGACACTGTTACAAAATGTTGATGAGATGGTTTCTGTTACTCATGCTCTAACTTGAGGGTCTTTGCAACAGAAGGGTGCCTGTGAAGGTGTTTGCTTTTTTTTTCATCTTCTTCTTCTCTTTCAGGAGTTACAGGTAGTTCTATATCAGGCACTATGCAATCTGGTGGCTTTTGGTCCAACATGTATTTTAGTTGTCTTTGCACTTTTTTAATTTCTTTGTGAACAGCCAAGTTCAAATGCTGGAAATCGTGATGTCTCTGGTACCAGGATGTCAGAGAGAAAGTGAATAGCGCCAGCCATGCCTGTAAAGCAAAATGTGGATCTTTTTACAAATAGTCATGAAGGTTATATCTGCAACAAAGTAACCTTCAATTTTTTCCTCTACTGGGGGTTCTAAGGATATGAGAAAAAGTACTGGGGACTTCAAAGATGATTACATTAAAAAAAGAAGAAAATTAAATCCTTATATTAATACCCAGCAAGTATTCTTTACTCTTAAGTTTTTTTTACAACTGGCTCATGAACTCTCATCTTATGTCTATAATACTACAGAATCACTACCAAAGAGATATAGATGCTAAGCTGGAGGTGTAGCTCAGTGGCAGAGTGCGTGCCCAGCATGCATGATGCCCTGGGTTCCATCTCCAGCAACACACACACACACACACACACACACACACACACACACACACACAAGTTACAGATGTTGTCAATTATATTTCAATACATAAAATTTTCCCCTCTCAGAGCTTTTATATTTTAAGTCAAAAAAACAGTTGTACTTTACATCTTCTTTAGGTTTTAAGACAGTAATTTTCAAACAAACATTATTTGCTTTGGTCAAAATCCCCATTCCAAATCAATATAGTAATTAAACCTCAGGTTTCACACTTCCCTGACAGGAGCTTCTGAAAGTCTCAAGGCCTCTGTCTCCCACTCCAATCAGAACGATATCTTTCCTACAGGATTTGTTTGCTTAAGTTTTCTTTTGCCATAAAAATCATATAAAACCAAACACAAATCTTAAGCATATTTCCTCAAGAGTTTTGACAAATGCACACACTTGTGTAAAACAAACCCTGTCAAGATCTGGAATATTATAACTCCCAAGCAGTCCACGGTGTCCATCTGTAGTCCATCCCTGCTACATCCCACAGAAGCAATTACCACAGATGAATTTTGCCCATTTTGGAACTTCACATAAATCACAATACAGCCTTCTGTGTCTGGGTTCTCCATTTTGTTCATGTGTATGTCAGTAGTTGGTTTCTTCCTATTGCTGAGTAGTACATTATAGATTGTTTCCCTGTTTTCCTACTGGAGGACATTTCAGTTGTTTACAGCCTCCCTTACAAATTTTGCTTGAAGAAAAGGTTCCAGAAGTTTATTTTAAAAATTCAAAAACCTATATAGGAACCTATTAGAAGTAAACAGGAATACTTGACACCTCTGGGAGGACCCTAGAGAAGGCCATGCTGCAATACCCATTTTCTGGTTTTAAAGGGTAGGGTGCCACACTCACCGGATGAAGCACATTAGCAGGAGTATGCTCCCTCATGAGGGGTCATAGGTGTCAGCAACCCCAGCATCCTAGTAGCTCCTCTGCCTGACATGCCACATAGACGTTCAATATAACTATTTCTTGGTCCATCTGACAAGAGTTTCGTTAACACTTACCACTATTTGTGTCTGGCAGGCACTGGAAAGACCCAAGGCAGGGAGTTAACTTCCCAGATATCAGGAGATTTTACATTGAACAATTTTGACTCACTAGGGCTTTGAAGTTGCTATTATAAACTTGAATTTCTAAACCTGAATGACCTCCATTTAGAGTTCAGGTTCTAACTATATTATATCTAATGAAAATATACCACATTTTTATGACATAAGGAAAAGTCTCATTGAGAAATATTCTTTCTATATGATGTGCCTTGAACGTGCTAGGCAAGTGCTCTACCACTGAGCCACAAACCCAGCCCTCTATGTTGTTTTTGAATATTAAAAAGATCATATTCCCCAAAAGATCTGACAAATATTCTATTTTTGTTCATATTTCTATTATGTGATTAAAAGTATCACCAAGGTCAGAATAAAATATCACTAGAGGTGATTTAGACATCAAATAAAACAATAAAGGAATACTACCAATAGCTTCAACACATAAAAACTTGACATCATAGATAAAATGGGCCAATTTCTCAAAAGCAGGAAACTCCTACAACGTACCCAATATGAAACAGAAAAAGGAAACAGCACTATAACTATTAAAGAAATTGAAATTATTTTAAAATCTTGGAAAAAGAAATTTCCAGACCCAGAAATGTTCATTAGAGAAGTCTACCAAACATTAAAATTTTATTTATGCTAATTTTTCCACCAATAAATACAAAGCCTGTCCCAGAAAACAGAAGAGAAGAGAGTTCTCAGGACAGTTCATTAGATCAGGATTACCCTGCTACCAAAATAAGATAAAGACAGTGCAAAATAGGAAAACTAGAAATTAACACCCTTCATGAATACAGATGTAAAATTCTTATTATATAGGGCTAGCTTCTGGAACCCTTTCTTCTAAAAAAAACTTGTCAGGAAGCCAGGGAAAAGCCCAAATGTCCTTCAGTAGAAATCATTTTATTAGTTCTGAAGTTTACTTTGGGATAAGTATAAGATGTGGCTCTAAAGTAATTAAAGGTTACTTTATTATGAATTTATCTCAACTGACCTTTTAGTCTTTGTCCTTTGATTTTTGTAGCTTATAAGTTAATACACACATAAATATAAAAAAAGAAGTTAAGTCCCTCTGTAAGACTGTTATTTTTTTTCCTTAAGTTACATTCTGTTGTGCCCAGAGCAGACTGATAATTTTTGTTGCTTTTACTGATGGCCTGTTATTGCTCATTTCCAGAACGTTCTTCAATATTTGTTTATTTTTTTCCCCAATCATTAGTATTCCTAATTACTAATACTTCCAATTAATTATTAATACTTCCTTATATAATTTATATATACATATAATCTAAATATATAATATATAATATAAATATTTAAGTTTATATAAAATAAATTTATTTTTAACTATTTAAGCTTCCTGTGAGCACATTAATATTACAATATTACAAATGAAATGAAAGAGGTATCACCCAGATGCTTATCACTCCTACTGCGCAGTAGCAAGCCTTCCATACTGTATCCATATCACTAGATAATCACTTCCATACTTTGTCTGCATATGCTTCACAGATCTACAAACACTTGGATGATATTCACAACAAAAAGAAGGCATACTCAATATCATTTTCAGGCATCAATTAATCTGTTTACTGCTATTTTAGTTTTGGAATTTTTACTCATGTAAGATCAAATATACTACTGCTAATCCCCAGAGACATGGAGATCAATTTCACTCACCCAGATGCTTAAATCTATAGTTGTTTTTTTTGCTTTTTCACTCTCCTACCTTCAAACAGGGAATAGGGTCTATCAGGAATGCGGCATCCATGCGCTCCATAATCTAGACACCACTCTGCAAACTAAAAAGAAAGCATTTCTTTTTAAGAACAGAATTTTCACTTGGTGAAAGGCAATAAATGAGATACTACAATGAATTCACCAGAACCAACAGTGTTTTGGAGCAAAGGCTCAGGACTGGACAACAGTGCTACTTCCTCTCTGAGGGCTGAGTCCTGGCAAGTTATGTTATGCATCTCTCTTCACCTGTTTTTTCATCTGCAAGGTGGTATCTACCTCATTCATTGTCTGTCCTTTCTAGGCATCTGCTGCTGCCCATCCAGTTGTCATTTCCAAAGTAACTCCAAACACTTGCTCTGAATTAAAAAACCTGGCTTGGAAGCTGCCTGCAGAATCAGCTGCTGGCTCCCCCTGGTGATCTCCTGTGGCAGCAGCTTCAGCCCTGGCCAGGGCCATTCTCAGTCACACTCTTGTTAAACATAATCTACACTCTCACTTTTCTTATCTCCCCTTCCTCTTCCTCCACTTTCTTATGCACCATTGTTTGACAGTGCCACCTTGAAAATGCCTCATCCCTTAGCTTTGTCAGTGCTTTCCTTTTGAGAAATATTGAGTTTTCAAACCTCTTCAATGGGATTTTTCTGTATTATAATAAACTTCCATTTTATTTTCTTAAGGTAACAATTAATATCAAATTTAGCACGTTTAATAACACTCTTTCTGTTTTGTATTTACCAAATATGCTTCCTCTTTTCCCTTGTTTGATCAGCATCTACCTGGTTTTCTTAGAAAACAGGAAAACACTCAGGTATTTCCATCCTCTCCACTCTAAAGAAAAAAAAAGATGGCACAAAATTCGGTTCTACATCCTAAACTCTCCATTCTATCATAGACAATGCCTTGTTGTATAACTCAGTATTTTTCTTGCATTAATGTGTGGAAACACAACCTCTGCCTCATCCTTCCGAATGGAACTAAAGCCCCATCTTTCAAATCAGTACTCAATACCAGCTGATTATTAAAATCACCTGCAGAGGCTTTAAACTATTAGTGACACACTCTTTCACTTAATTGGTCTAGAGTGGGCCCTGTGATGTCAGGTGTTACTGAGGTTGAAAACTGCTAACAGACTTATTTTCTTTTGCCTCTGCCCGCCTGACTTTATCTCGTACTAACCACTCTTCCTATGACATCCCACAACACTGAAGTGCTCAGAGTTTCCAGAATACACAGAGCTATTTTGTGCCTTGGCAGTTTATACAAGTTATTCTCCCTATCAGGAATGTATTCCACCCCTTAGCCACCTGGCTCCTGGTCCACCTGAGACTTCATCATTGAAGAACCAGCTGTATCTTAATCCTACTAAAGTCTTCAAAGTTCCCATATTTACTTAAACATCTACAATTATAATTATCAAGGCTGATGCAGCCTGCAGGACCTAGCTGCTTTATACCTCTGTCTCTCCTGTTCTGGCCTCCCCACTCCAAGCTCCAGCTACCACAAACTTCACACAGTTCCCCTGTGTGCTTCACAACTCCAGAGCAGTTTCTTCTCTTGTTAATACCTTACCTCATACCTCTTTGCTGAACTTCTAGCTGTTCTGTAGGTACTAGTCTGGATGTTTTTTTCTGAACTCCTACACCCAGTTTGGGCCCTAACCTCTTAATGTGCTTCTACAGTATCCACAATCCTCTGTGTGTGTTTACTCAGAGGCACCAACAAGAGTTATATTCTATTTCAGTTAAGAAAATGACTATAATTGTAACAGATGTTCATTGATCAAAAGGTATAAAGAATATATCAACCAAAAGGACTCCATCTATCAAGGCTCATGGTAAACATTTTCTTCCGACCTCTATTCTATGAGCATATTACTACAGAGTATGAAATGTGTATAATAATGATTATACTAGCAAATATTTATTTGAAAAGGAAGCTTGAAGAAATGTGCTCAAATTCATAAAATCACACAGTTTTATAACAAATAAACACAGTATAGATGGTAATTCTAACCAAGTAGTATGACTCCACATCTCCTATTCTTCAGAGGTCATTTACATGTGTTATTCCTGTCTTATAGACAAGTACACCACAGTATAGGGAGGCCAGGGACAAAACTTTGCCAGAAGAAACCAGGGGTTTTCCCTTGTGATCAAAAAAGGAAGCAGATTTGGAAGGTAGAAAGCAAATTAAGTTTTAGTAAACGTGTAAGATGGGAAAAACAGGTTAAAAGAAGAAAAAGAACTGTTTAGGGACTTTGTACAAGTTCTGGGGTGTTCAGATGTCCTCACCTTGCAAGCTCGGTAGAGATACTTTTTATCCTTTGTGATGTGGTAAAGAGACAGAAAAGAATAGCCATTCCCAGAGGTTCCATGGCAAATCCCGTATCCCTTTCGGAGCAAACCTCGCTGCCAAATCACATCACTACACTCCATGGCCTCTTTCAGGTATTTCTCCTCCTTAAAAACCTGGGCAGTGAAAAACCAAAATAGTGTTAATAAGATGGTCTCAATGAAGAGTTAGTAAAATCCTTTTCCTTCCTGGTTAGAAAATTACACAATGTTAGGAAAACAGAAATGTCACTAGGGTAAAAACAAATAAACAAAAAACCAATAGCACTAACAGTGCATCATTTCTTACAGTCCCAATCAGCCTATTCTTCTTGGCCTCCTCTTTTGTAGTGCGGCATAAGTAATCCTAAAATTAAGCTTAAAAATTAGTTATTAAAGTTACCAAAAAAATTAGTTATTAAAGTATGGACAGCTGCAGAGACAAACAGGCACAGTGAAGGCAAATGACTGACAGAAGAAGCTGTTTGTTTTTACTCCCCAGACTCCCTTATAAATTTTCTTCTCTCTTTTCTTATTTTTCATTTATTGCTTCCCTGGTGCTTTTCTCAGAGTCTGTTAATAATTCCAACAGCTTATGAACTCATGCCATTTAAGTACAAATGAGTTTGGACAATGAAAGACATGAAGGCCATTAGACATGATCTACTTATGGTGGCATACAGGATCCATCTACTAATGACTAATGAGTACTGACACTAGGCCGAGAAGAACTCTGAGGCTGTAGGCAGGGAAAGGCACTTCTAATCATGAAGGGAATTAAATGTTTCCAAAATTAGGCTGCCAGAATCAAAAGCAAGACTCCATTTCTTCACCATGATGGCAACTGAAAGGCAGGTTCTGGAGTCAGACTGTCTGACTCTGAATCCTACTTCTGTCATCTTTCAATTTGGACAAGTCACTTAATCATTATGTCTTAGTTTTCTGTAAAAAGATAACCTTTCCTTATTTTTATTTGTTCTTTTTAATTACACATGACAGTACAATCTATTTTGATATACAAACATGGAATATATCTTATTCTAATTAGGATCCCAGTCTTATGGTTGTACATGATGTGGAGATTCATTGTGATGTATTCATATATGTACATAGGAAAGTTATGTCAGATTTATTCCATTGTCTTTCCTATTCCTATCCATCTTCCCTTCAATCCCCTTTGTCTAATCCAATGAACTTCTATTGTCTGCCTTTCTTAATGTGGGTTAGTATCCACATAACAGGAGAACATTTGACCTTTGGTTTAGGGAGACTGGCTTTTTCCACTTAGCATGATAGTCTCCAGATTCATCCATTTACCAGCAAATATCACAAAGTCATTCTTTTTATGGCTGAGTAATATTCCATTGTGTATGTAAGCCACAATTTCTTTATCCATTCATCTGTAGATAGGTACCTAGGTTGGTTCCATAGCTTAGCTATTGTGAATTATGCTGCTATAAACATTGATGTGGTTGTGTCAATATAGTATGCTGATTTTAACACCTTTAGACATATAACAAGGAGTGAAATAACTGGATCAAATGGTGGTTCCGTTCTTAGTTTTTCTGAGGAATCTCCACAGTACTTTCCAGAGTGGTTGCCCTAATTTTCAGTTCCACCAACATTTTTTCACTTCAAAGGCTTGTTGTGAGAATTAAAAAGAGATAATGTACAAGAAGCTCTTAGAACTGCACCTGACACATAGCATGTACTAACTACTTCCTATCTTTAATTAACCATTATTTTTTTCTGTTATCCTGCCAGCATGACTACTTTACATTGTTAGCTGCATCTTAAATCCCTTGAGAACTAACTGTAAAATGAAACACTTTAACCTATTTTAAAGAAATACTAGGTCAAAGCTAACAGGTGAAAAGACACTAAGAGGCTATGTCTTGAAATCATGTGTGTGAAGAAACCCTAAACCTCTTTCTAGTGGTTGCTAGGGGCATGTGAAGATTGAAGGAGAAATCAGTTAGGTGTTCTTCACTGTCCTGCTGTATTGGTAGGACTGAGGATGCTATGGAAGGCCCATAATGCTACCTACACTCTTAGTTTCCCTGCGCCCATCATATACTCTAATGATTCTCTATGTGAAAAGCAACTTTTAATAATGAGACATTTGAAAAATTAAGTATTATAGAAAATAAGCTCCCAGATTTAATCACAGATTCATGATCTTTACATTGTAGCAATCATAATTAGATGGGAAAATCCACTGACTTAGCCATATTCTTTTTCCTGATCGTAGATTTCTGAGATGTGTCAGGATAAATGAGGCAGCAATGCATAAGAAATCATAAGGGATCTGGAGTCAGGAGACTTAAGAGTCATTCTTCTATATCTACTAATGTTGTGATCTTGAGCAAGTCATGTGACTTCTCTGGTCCTGTTTGCTTACATTACAAAATTGATTAACTCTGAGATGACTCTAATGTTGCAAACAGAGATAAGAGTTTTAGATAATGATTAAAAATATCTTAAAGGATGCAAAGGAAATGAAGGTGAAATAAAGACAAGTCTAAGATAAATGAAAATCAATTTGTTGTCACCAAACCTGGACTACAAGAAATGCTAAAGCAAGGTCTATAGGTGAAAGGAAACACAAATCTGAACCTGTAGAAAAGTATGCAATACACTAAAAATATATGTGAATAAATACCAAAACTACCTTAATTTCTTTTAAATACTTAGGAAATATTTAAATAAAAAATATAATTTGTTCTCTAACTTAAAATTTATAATTTTAAATTATACTGGGGTTTATAACATTTGTAGGTGTAGTATATATGGCACAGTGTAAAGAAAGGGAGTAAATAGAACTATAAGCTTACCAGTTATTACATCCTATGTGAAGTGATATATTATTCTACACAGAGTGTGAAATGTTAAGGATATACATGCAATCCCTATAGCAACCACTAAAATTAAAAATGTTCAAATAGATAAAGAGTCAACAGAGAAACTAAAATGGAATTCTAAAAAATATTCAGCAAATATATCTTAGCTCCATGAAAAATAAAATGTCGAGCTAAATCTAACTATATGAATAATTACATTAAACATACATGAACTAAACATTACAAATAAAAAGCTGAGATATTTAGACTAGATATAAATCCATAGGTTGAAAACAAAAATATATATCATGCAAAGAGTAGTTATAAAATTCTGGAATGACTATATTAATATTAGGCAAAGCAGACTTAAGACAGAATATTATCAGAGATAAAGGGGATATTTTATATTGATAAAAGAGCCAATTCATTAGGAATATATTAGTATCATAAATTTGTGTCTAATAAGAGAGTCTCAAAATACATGAAGCAAAAACTGACAAATTTAAATATTGTTGCAGTCCTCCTCGCCATAACTGAGAGAAAAAAAAATTGACTAAACATATCTAAAAGGCCATAGAACAGGGGTTATCAAACTATAAGCCCATATGGTCTGATTCTGTAAATAAAGTTTACTGGGAACATAGTCATGATCATTCATCTATATATCTATGCCTGCTCTTGTGCTCTACTGACAGCATTGAGTAATTGCACAAGAGATGGTATGGACCCCAAGACTAAAACATGTATTATCCAAGTCTTTACAGAAAGTATGTAGACCCCTGACACAAAATAACTGAATAAAACCTTCAACTATCTAACCTAATTAACATTTGAAGAAAACTATGCCGAGTAACTAAAGAATATACACTCTGATCAAAGTGCCTGATACATCATTCATCAAGACAGACTAAATACTGAGTTATAAAATGAGTCTAAATAAAATTTAAGATTTAAATATGTTATCTGACAACCATGGAATAAAATAACAATAAAATAAAATATCTAGACAAATTTCAACTCTCTGAAAATACATAATGTACTTCTAAATAATCCATGGACCAGAAGAGAAATCATAGGTAACTGGAAAATACTTCAAACTAAATAAAAAAGAAAAAAAATTCAGAGATGAAGCTAAAGCACTGCTTAAATGGAAATGTAAAGTTTTAAATGCTGTATTCAGGGGAAAATAGGAAAGGTATAAAATCAATGACCTAAGGTTCTATTTTTTAAAAATTTAAAAAAGAAGAGAAAATTAATATCAGGTGGAAGTTTTAAAGGAAAGAGAAGAAAAGCAAAATGAGGTAAAAAAGAGAACCCAAAGAAAATTAATAGAGTTAAACGTTTTTTGTTTGAAAGACTAACAAAACTGATAGGGGAAGTGGGGGGAGAGGGAAAGATAGAGACAGAGAAAACAAATTATGGATATCAAGAATGAAAGGGAAGCATCACTACAGACTCTACAGACAGTAAAAACATAATAAGAGACTTTTAGGAACAACATTGTACCAGTAAATTTCACAACTTAGGTAAATGAGAAGATATATTGAAAAAATTAAAACTGATACAAAATGAATTCAATTAAAGAAACTGAATTTCTAATAAAAATTATGCCACAAATATATGGAATATGAATTTTATATAAAATTTTCCTGAATATAAAAGGAGGAAATCCTTTATAATAGATTATGTAATCAGACATCAAAATCAAACAAAAATGTTAAAGGAAAAGAAAATTATAGACTAATAGAGACATAAAAATCTTTAACAAAATATTGGTAAACTAAATCTGACCATATTAAAAAGGATAAAAATCATGTTCAATAGAAGTTTGCAATAAGAACACATATTGGCTTAACTTTCAAAAAGCCATCAACATAAACCCACTACATTACCAAAATAAATGGAGGACAACTTTAGAAGCATTTGAATAACTGAAGGGAAAAAAAGAGAAAATTCAACATCCATTCATGATAAACAGTAATAAAAGAAAAATCCTCAATATCTCATAAATAACATTTATGAAATGTTATTTATGAAATGTTTAGAATATTATCTATGGCCTCAACAAATACCATAACTGAGTCATTTCTGAATATTCATATTTTTTATACTATTTAAAAATTTGGGGTGTTATTGTTGAAAGAGAACTAAAAGAATTCTGAGAAACTATTCTATATCATAAGTTAATTTACCACAATTTTTTTCTAAAGAATTTATTATAGTTAGTCATAAAGGGAAAATAAAATTGAACTCAGGTAACAGTTTTTGTTATTTTCATGTAGCAATGTGAATTCTGCTCCATTAATTCTATCTATCTCTTCAAAACAAAAGAACTTATTAAAAATATTGCATTGACTAGAGCAATTATTGTAGTTATATTTGTATACTTTTGTTGCTAAATGAGCAATAATCTCCAACATCAATTATTATAAAGATGTATTAAAATAAAAATAAATTAATCAGTGAAGATACTGCCTATTTTCCCATAATACCCCAGAGGTACAAAACTTGAATGCCACTCCTATTTCTTGTGAATAATTTTGTGAACAATTTTAAAAGCCCTTGAATGATAATTATTATAATCTAGCAATAAATGCTTATGCAAGCAAGGGTGTAATATAATGTGAAGACAAAAAAATAATTGATTCTCATTCTTTCTACTGTTTTCTTGGATACTAACACTCATTAGAATGAAAATCATTATTGTCTTGTCATGTATTTCTTTTACACATGAATGTAAACTCTGTTAAACATGCAAATACACTCACAGTACTGGTCACAGCAGCAGTGAATAGTGAAATAAAGACATTTTCTATTTATTTTATAAAAATATTAATTCAAAACGGCTTTTCATGTGTGGTTGAATGGGCTTACCAAAATCAAACTGAAACTTGGTGAGAACTGGATCCTGTACAGTGGAAGCTATGAAACTAACTGAAATACTGACCTTATATGCTTGCATGAGCATATGGATGACACCTGGGGCACCATGGCACCAGTGGACCAATCGATCTGTTTCATTGCTTAATGAAGATGGATAATTCCCAGATCGAAATTTCTTGTGGCGCACATAATCGATACTAGGCTTCACCATTTCTATTAAGGTTTCTTGGTCCACTTTTGCTGCAGGCTTTAAAGAAACAAAAACAAAACAACTTTTCTGAATTTTTTCTTAACCTTTGTATCAATGGCTAATATAATAAAGCATAAATTACCTGGAATACTGAGGAACATATAAAATTAGAATTAATTCAATTATTTGTTTTAAATACTTAGGCAGACCTTTGTTTATTTCAACTCTTTTTAAAATCTCTCTAAAATTTATTAGTGTCAGAAAAGATATATATTTTATTTTTACTTTGATGCATTAGGATCGTCAACTTGAAGTCATTATATAGCAAGGGAGAAGACTAAGCTAAATCTCTAATGAATCCAGGACTATAAAGGATTTTGTTTAGATTTTTTTTTGTCCAAAAACTGATCCTTGATTTCTTCCCATGTGGCTCTTACCCCAATTCTCCCAAATTTATTAACTGGCTTTGTCACTGCAGGCAAATAATAAAAATAACAACAACAACAAAATAATAATAATATTATTATTATAGAAAAATTGTTATATTTATTATTATATAATATTATATAATTGTTATTACATTATTACTAATCATTTTGGTACTAGTTATTGTTGTTGTTGTTATTATTATTATTAATTATTTTGGTACTGGAATTAAACCCAGGGACACTTTACCACTAAGCTATATCCCCAATCCCTTTTATTTTTTTTTGTTTTGAAACAGGATCTCACTAAGCTGCTGAGGATCTTGCTAAACTGCTGAGGCTGACTTCAAATTTGCCATCTTCCTGTCTCAGCCTCCCAAGTATCCAGAGGTAATATAAATTATAATGGTAAAGTGAAATACTACTTACAATTGTTATTATTATTGTTCTATTAAAGCCAAAGAAAATCTACAACATGATGTTTTCTTCTATAACACAAAATGAAAACCCCAAAGAAAAGAGATAATTTTAAGGATCACTAATGTTTCTAAATTTCACATAAGTAGAACTACTTTATTATGTTTTTAATTTAATTTACATATTAGAAAATCTTTAAGTGTTTTCCTTGACACATATTTAGAGATTAGATTTTTGTTTTTCAAACTACAGGTCATGCAATATATTTCCAAAAAGACTAACCAGTAATTCAAAAAAGTTTACACAGATAATGTGATCAAATAGTTTTACATGTCAAAAAAATGTTTGGGAAGTTTATTTCAAAAAGCAACATTCAGTGTTTCTTCCCAGGATACAACTGTGATTTTGTTTGTATTTTTGCTGTATCTTCGTATTTCCTGAATATTTCTAAAAATGCCTGCATAGTGTAGACTTACTAATTCTAGACTTCATCTATGGGATTCTCCTGTGGCAGGCAGATGATTATAATTTCCCCCTTCAAATCATCTCAGGAGAATTTTATTCCATCAACAATTTTTGTTACATTCATATTCACTGTGCTCTTTACAGACTGAACTATGTAAATATTTCTTGCTGCTTAGACAAGGAACATACTAAAGTATATATCTTAAGAGTTTTATTACTTTCAGTTTTTCCTAAAGTTAGTAACTTTCTCACTCTTTTATTTAACTGGTTTTCTTTGAATCGCCATCTAAGTTTTTTTCTCATGCACAAACAGCTTGTAAAGTCTCTCAATTTAACTTTCCACAAAGGCAAAACTGCTGTGATTTTTTTTTTTTCCTCATGGAGAAAGTTCTTCAATCTCATTCCATTCTTAATCAGTTATTTTCTAGGACTTGTGTACAACTGCTGTACTGGGACATCCACCTGTCAACTTCATGGAGATTTCATTCCCTCTCTCTTGTTTAGGGTCTCTTTTCCTGGATCTCTCTCTTAGTTAACTCCCTTCTAGTAGCTTCCTGAGATAGGATGCAGGGGAATTAATATTTTCTTTTTTTTTTTTTGAGAGAGAGAGAGAGAGAGAGAGAGAGAGAGAGAATTTTTTAATATATATATATATTTTCTTATAGTTTTCGGCAGACACAAACATCTTTGTTTGTATGTGGTGCTAAGGATCGAGCGAACCCGGGCCACAAGTGCGCTACCGCTTGAGCCACATCCCCAGCCCATGGAATTACTTTTTTTGAGACTGGGATATTTAAAACTGTCTTTGTTCTAATCCACATTTAATTGATAATTTTCAATGCTGAAAATCATTTTTACTCAGAACATGAAGGCGTTTCCATTTCTCTTTTAGCTTCAATGAAACTGCTGCAAATTCCAATGCTATTTTGATGTCCAACCTTGGTATATGACCTTTTTCCTCTTGAAATTTTAACATATCTCTTTAAAAAGTTTTCATAATAATGTGGTATGGATAATTTTCCCCATTTATTATATAACAACTTGGTAGGTTTTTTCCAATATGGCAACTCACTCATGTCCCTTATCTCTAGAACATATTCTTTTACTACATTTCTTAAAATTTCCTCCCTGCTATTTTGTATTCTCCTTTACCAGAAGTCCTATTAATCAGATGTTGGACCTCCTAAATTAATCCTATTATTTTCTTTTCCCACTGTTTATTTCTGTTTGCTAAGATATTTGATTTCCAAACATTGTTATAATTTTAAAAAAACAACTATTTTGTGTGTGTGTATGTCTTGTTTTTGTTTTTGTTTTATTTTGTTTTGTTTTTGGTGGTGCTGGGGATTGAACCCAGGGCCTTGTGCATGAGAGGTAAGTACTCTACCAACTAAGCCATATCCCCAGCCCCTTTTTAATTTTAAGAGCTCTTTCTTATTCCTCAAATGTTTTTTGTATGCAACTGCTTCTCTTATTTGCCTAAAGACATTAATTATTAATTTGATTTCTGTGATGTTTTCTTTTTCTTCCTAGTATATATGTTCTGAGTTTCTTTTTTCAACTTGTTTAGATCTCTCATCTTTCAAGTTGGAGACTTCCTTCAAATGTCTGAAAATTCTTTGGCTGTTTGTCTATATTTTGTATAAGGTAGTACAAAGCTCACTGAATATACTCTGCACACGGGGGGATTTGTTCAATAGTAGAAATCACTTTAGAGTTGTAGGATAATTTTTTAATCGAGATTCTACAAAAAAACAGAACCAATATGGTATGTTATACAGAGAAAAAGACTTTTAAGAAAATGACCAATACACTCAAGAGTCTTGAGTTCAAATCTGAATGGGATTATCAGAAGGCTGAAGTCTCAAAAGTGTTGCAGTTCATATCCAAAGGCAGTCTGCTAAATAACCTGAAAGGGCTAATGTTGCAGATGAAGTGAATTCCAAATACAGTCTGCTGGAAGATAGCCTCTTACTTAGCAGGGAAGTTCTGCCTTTGGTTGTATTTAAACATTCTATTGATTGGATAAAGGTCCCTACTCATATTATGAAAGACAATCTACTATACTCAAAGTCCACCAATTTAAATGTAAAACTTATTCAAAACCACCCTCACAGAAACATCCAGAATAATTTTTGACCAAATATCTGGGTACCATGGCTCAGCCAAGCTGACACATATAATTGATCATCACAGATTTCTAGCTAACTTTTTTAATGGGAACTTTCAAATACCTATGTCTGTAAATCTTTTATCTGAGCTTGTTTTCTCAAAAAAAGGAGACTTCAATCCCTCATCTGGTGTATGGGTAGAGTTTTCATTGGCCAAGGGTTGGGGATATGTCTGAGGCTGGCTGTGACAGAGGGTGATCTCATCATAAAACTACTTAGACTTTCATTCAAGCCCCCTTCACCAACCTCTATACCTGGCCATCTCTAATCAGAATAGTAGATTCAATTCTTTCAGACTATTGCAGTTTAGACATAAAGTGTCCCCCAAAAGCTCATGTGTGAGATAATGCAAGAAGGTTTAGATGTGAAATGATTGGGTTATGAGAGCCTTAACTCAATCAGTGAAGTAATCCTCTGATAGAGATTTACTGAGTGGTAACTGAAGACAGGTAGGATGTGGCTTGGGGAGGTGGGTCACTGGGAGCATGTATTAGGGGTATATGTTCTGTCCCTGGAAAGTGGAGTCTCTGCTTCTTGGTGGCCATGTCCTGACCTGTTTTCCTCTGTCACATTATTCCACCATGATGTTCTGCCTCACCTTGAGCCTTAAGGAATAAAGCCATCTATCTATGGACTGAGATCTCTGAAACTATAAGCCCCCAAATAAACTTTTCCTCCTCTAATTGCTCTTGTCGGGTCTTTTGGTCACAGCAACATAAAAGCTGACTAAAACAGATCTAAATCCTCTTTGTCTCCAGCAGGAGTTAAGAGGAGAAATAGTCATCTCGCTTTGCTGGATGGAGATACTTACAGAGAACCATTGGCTCCTTATAAAAATGTTTGTAGAGTCCTCTGCTGACCTGCCCTCACTGCCATATAGACACATGTCTCATGCCACTTTTATGGTAAATGTCACTTGAAATTCCTTAGTCATAGGGTTTGCAGGAGAAACTGGCTTGATTCCTTCTGGCAGCCTCTAATTTATTAAGACACTTTTGTGTGATCTTCTTCTATCCTCTTAGGACATTTGTCATTCATTCACCTCTTTCCAGTTTATATATTCACAGTTTGGGGCTCTAGGTGTCTTCTAGTTTCATTTTGGAATGTGAGTTTCTATTATTATTATTATTATTATTTTGAAATGATTTTCAAGAGAAGAATTGTTTTAGTTATGCCATTATGAATTTGAAGTTCTGTTTAAGTGACAACACACAATGGATAATACCACCACAGGACAATGCTACCACACCAGCAGGAGAGGTGGAACAGGGAAAAGAAATGCAGAGTCAGCTCTCAGCCAGTGCCATCACACTGCTTAACATCTCTTTAAAAAGATAAGGATTTCTAAATAGAATACTAAATAGTGTAAACATGTTTCTCACTTTAAAAGCACAAGAGGGGAAAATTTCATGATTTGTATTTCTCTCAAAGAAACTCCTAATATGCAACAAAATCAACCTCAACATCTGAATCTAAACCACATCAGTGGGGATCTCACATTATTATGTTTTTCCTAATGGTTTTATGATTTGAGGTGCCTGAGCTACCAGTTAAAACACCTTTCTGGAGCATATCCTGTGATGTTTAATTGTGTGTGTTTACTTGACTAGGTCAATAGGATACCCCAATACATTATTTCTGGGTATGTCTGAGAGTGTCTTTCTGATTGAGATTAGCAATTGAATTGCTGGACTCAGTAAAGTAGGTGGTCCTTTTCAATGTGGATAGGCTTCATCTAATCCACTTAAGTCATAAGTAGAACAAAGGAGGAAGAAGTTGCCCCTTCCCACCAGCCTGCCTACTTAGAACAAAGACATCAGTCTCTTCCTGACCCTTGACTATGATTTACACCATCAGGTCCCAAGCTTAGAAATGGCAGACTGTGGGACTTCTCAGCCACCATAATTGCACAAAGTCAATTCCTATATAAATTCCTTCAAGTTGTGTATGTGTATTTACATCTCCTATTGGTTCTGTTTCTCTAGAGAACTTTAACACACAAACATCACACTATAATATCTCTTTTAAAAAAAAGTAACTGTTATTTCAAAATTCAGATGAAATTCTGGTTATTTTAGAAATGCATGCTGTACTTTTAAGAAAATCCACAACTGGAATATATGCAAGTTTACTTTTACAGTAATTAACAAAGACTACTAATTACCAGAAAAGAAAGTTTTGGTCCTGTTTAGATATGAATTTTCTATTTTATTTTTAGCATTTATTTTTTAGTTATAGGTAGACACAATACCCTTATTTTATTTTCATGTGGTGCTGAGGATCGAATCCAGTACCTCATGCATGCTAGGCAAGTGCTCTACCTCTGAGCCACAATCCCAGCTCTCTATTTTCCTTTAGGCATGGTGTAGTATTTTTTTCAAAAAGGAATTTGAAATAAAAAAAATTAAAATAGGCTTTCAGTCAAAGATATCTAAATTCTAATCCTTATTCCTTGACTTACTAGCTTTGTGATTCTGTAAAATAAAGAAAGGCATAATTTTAAGAAAGAAAAAGGAGGTTGTATACTTAGCACAGAAGGGGGCCTTAGGCAATGAGGCTAGAAGCATCCGTCGAGGTAATACCGGGGATGGGTTTCTAACTACTTCACAGAAGTGCAGGTTCTTAATTCAGTAGGTGACAAGGATAATTAAGAGACAAGATCATAACCATAGCAATAAACTTGTTAAAATTTCAGAACATGACTGATAACAAGTTGGGGGCATCTGAATATAACAAAAGTTCTGCCTCAGTTTGGATTCAAGAGGCCCTTTTACTCCCTGAAGATCCATCTGTATTAAAAAAGTTTCCACTTCAATCAGTAGGAGGACAAGGAAAGAAGAAAAGCATGGGCGAAAAACAACTAAATGTACTCTTGGGAATTCTCATGTTCATGAAGCAGAGTTTAAGCAACTGTGATTCAAAGGAGGAGCTTGTTTCAATTCAGCCAGCTTGATTTGTCTAAAAATTTCATTTCCCATTTGTATTTGACCTAATATATTATAATACAGTTGCTGTATTAGTATTTCAGAATTTTGTTATTTACCTGCATTAACATATAGTAGATCCCAGACATGCCATGGGCTGCTCCAACATACTGCTTCCTGTGCCACTGATACAATAGGGGACAGCGATCAGTTTTTCTTTCTTCTCTTGATAAGGTTTTACCGGATTCAATAATAGCATTGACTACCTACAGAGGCAATGAGATTCCATAAATCTAAAAAATTGTACATGCATGCTGTTCTGGTCTAATTAACATTAACACTTATGTATACATAAAGAGATTATTCATCTACAACTCTTTAAACAATTAGTAGCTGACATAGTCATTTTTATCTTATAAATTAATAAATGTGGGCAGAGAGGACTCAGAAGACAACATCAGAGTAGAAAAAGACAGAAAAAAAAGTCTAAGAAAGGAATCAAAAGTTCTTTATAAAAAACGTCAACTAAAATCTGGAAAAACTTCCCATTAAAAATGGTCCCAGACTTTTTAGTTGCTTTGTAGCTGCAATGTTTTGCCCAAAAGACTGGCAAACACACTTTTCAAGAAAGACTGTAGGACTTAGATTCACTGATGAAAAGCTAATGCAATGTGGTCAGTTGTGGCTTGAAGGATTTTAGTCAGATCACAAGAACATCATGTTTGGAATGACTATGTGGCAAAGACACTAATTGTTTCCTCAAACCCAAGTTCTTCTCATCATTTTGGTGGAGTACTCCAAGTTTTAGCTAGCATCTGGTCTCCTAGCTAGAAACAGCTGAACACAGTCATTTTTTCTAATTTCTGGCAAAGGGTTGTGAGCAGACATGAGATGGGCAACTTACAGATGGAGTCCTTACAAAGGATGATACTTTTTCTCCCTTTCCCTCCTTCCTAGGACTAAGGGTACCAAACTAGCATTGGTCATGCAGGTAAAGATACGTTTTTAGCATAGCAGAGTAAAAAGAAGATAGGTCATCAGATACAGTCACCTCAGAGAACTCACAAAAGAAAAATAAACATTCAAACTTTTTGAAGCTGCTGTTGTTGCTTGGTTCCTGTAAAACCAGTTGTATCAATAAAAGATGGAGAAGTATATAGATTTTTGCTTTTTAGTACTGGGGATTGAACTCAGGGGCAATCTACCACTGAGCCACCTCCCCAGCTCTATTTTGAATTTTATTTAGAGACAGGGTGGAGTTCCTGCCTACTTGGTGGAGTTGCTTAGCATCTCGCTTTTGCTAAGGCTGGCTTTGAACTCTCGATCCTCCTGTCTCAGCCTCCACAGCTGCTGGGATTATAGGCGAGCACCATGACACCCAACAGATATTGAGTTTTTAAAAAAAAATCCCTAAAAAGAAAAGCAGCTAATTTGTTATTTTTATGAGATGTTTTAAAAAGCTAATTCAACCTAGAAGCAGAGCCTTAATACTAACATAACTCCATGCCAACAGATAGCTTTGAATACCCACAGGTGTCAGTAATCCCACAATACCTCTTTAATGGCTGATTCACACACAGTGCCAGGGCCAATCTCCGTGTTCAGGTACAGTAAGGCATACAGATAACCTGCTCGACCGAACAGCAGCTCATCAGGAAGCTCTGATTCTTGGCAGACAATGCTTCTGTGCAGCTGCAAAAGTCTAAACAACAAGAAAAAATTCTGTTTTCTCAAATATGCATGTCTGAAATGCTTCTTTCCAAAACAAGTAACTCATCACTTTAGAAATGTATTTATTTTTAAATTTAAAACTATGATTTAAAAAAGCACCCCAAATTCCCAAAACAACTAGAATTTCTCCACTTTACTAATTCTTCTTTCAAATGTAAAAATTACAAGCAAAAACCTGATCTGAGAATATAGCTCAGTGGTAGAGTATGTGCTTAGCATGTACAAGTGTAACAAGGACTTAGACTTCAACTTAGACTTCACTTTTGTCTGCACATGCCCCATGGGTGACTAAAAGCAGGAGCGAAGACTTGGCCTCTCTGCCTCCATTATCTAGGTCTGATGGATAAACATCTTATAATGAGTTGAAGCTTTCCTTCACCCCATCCCTTGCTCAGCAATGTCAGGTGCAATTTTCTTATTTGGAAAAGGCCCAGCCTGACCAATCATGAGATAATGATGGACAAAGCACGCCTGATCAAGATCACCTATTTGGCAGTTAAGAAAAGCCTTCAACAGTGTAAACAATCTTGCACTTACTCCTCTTTCTATAAAACCTCAAAGTAACTGTCAGTCCCTCAAAGACAGGACTAAGGCCATGGGTCCCCTTGTCTTCCTGGTGTAGCTATACTGATTAAAGTTCTTTTCACACTCTATAATTACCTTTCCTGTTTAGCTTTTTAGCAAGTAGCTACGCCTACTTTTTGGATACCCAGAGTCAGGCCTCTAGCTCAGGCTGTTACAAGGCCCTAAGTCCCAACCTCAGCACCATTAAAGAAAGAAAGAAAAGAAAAAAATCTTTCTGTTCAAAATGTATACCTTTATATTTATTCTAAACCATGTAACATAATTCACCTAGCATTAGAACAAAGTGATTTAAAATCTAAATAAAAATGACACTGAAATGCTGCCAGTGCTTAGGAATGAGTATGAATCATTCTAACTTTCAACAGACATTAACTAACATGTACTAGATCAGGTCCTAGAACTAAGCCCTGATTTCTACTTCTTCAAGAAGGAATATAAACCAATAGGTACAATGAAACGTATTCCTTACTTCAACTTCATTAATATAACTAATCAGTTAAAAGTCAAACTATGATTAATTTATTCTTGTGGATCTACAGCATTGTGAGCTAATTTTCATGCATTGAAAGCAACCAAAAATTATTTAGGAAAAATGATTAAAGTCCCTCTGAAATTAAGAAATACTCATGCTTGAATAGAAAAAGAACATATGATTTCACTAAAATGCTCAATAGTGACATACAGTTAAGCAAAGTGGCACACACCTGTAATCCTAGGGGCCCAGAGCCTGAGGCAGGAAGATCACTAAGTTCAAAGCTGGCCTCAGCAACTTAGGGGGACCTTAAGCAACTTAGTGAGATCCTATCTCAAAATAAAAAATTAAAAAACAGGCTGGGGATGTGGTTCAATGGTTAAGCACTCCTGGGTGTAATGTCTGGTACAAAAAAAAAAAGTAGACATACAAACCCTTTTACTTCTTAGGGAGACCTGTTTGCAACAGGAGAGTAAGTTAAAAATAATTTCTTTTTTGTATATTTTTCTACAGCTAGAGTTTCAACTAAGAATTTAAAGAAAATGTTTCCAGAATTAAAAACTTACTTTGTGATGCATTCCTGGGATTCACAGTCACTTTTGAGTTTATGATATATCACAGCTCCTACAGCAAGGGGCCCAGCATCTCCACAGAGGAAAGTGACCCTGCGACCATTCAGGTTCCTAAGTGTTCTCTTTACATAATCCAGAGATCGAAGCAGGTATGTCTGGTCACAAGTGACCCGGTACAGCTGCAGGTACAAAAGGGCTATGCCTGAAATGATCCCCACCCCAAAAGAAAAATATTACTACCTTTCCTTTTTACCTTCAAGATATTTTTAAATTACATGATATAAATTCTTCTACGTAAACACTACCTTTTCTGAAGGGGTAACATCAAAAAAATTATGTCAAATAGTTCTTTAAAATGAAAATTAAACCCCACAGAAATAAGAGCTTGGAAAAAAAAAGAAACACATGTAAATTGATTATCTTGCTAACTGGTATGGCATGGTGATTCTATGCTCTTAAACAAGAGATGAAATACCAAGGCTGAAATACAGAGGATAGTCCTGCTCATTCTGTTAATTTTTATTCATTTCAAGGTTATATTCAGTCTCTTTTGTATCTCAAGTTACCTTTACTTTTTAATTCTTATTCAATTATTTCCTCCAATGCTACCCGAAATTAAATGATTACCTTTCTGGATTTTATTGCTTTTTCTAATTTTTCTATTTGGCACAGTTTTTCAATTTTCTTTAGTGATCAACCCATACAATTGATCAGTGAGTCAGATTAACATTTATAGAACACCACATGTAAGGACTATCACCTACACAATCCTCCTATTTTAGATTGAATAACACACCCAGATCTTCACATGAACCAGAGAGGGGGCTTTGATACCTTTGGAGGATGATGTACATAGCTTTGTAAGCATAGTTTAATGCCTGGGTGGAAGAAGTTGCTATGGAAGGAGGAGGGTAGAAGAGTGGCTGGATTTGATCAATGTGCTCTGAATGAACCTCTGGGATTATCACACTGACCCCATCAACATGTGCAATTAATATGTGTTAACAAAAAGAAGTCAGTATGACAGTGAAGTGTTTTATTATTTAATAAAATATATTGTAGAAAAAAGTATTGAAAGAAGTGATATGATGATGAAATGGCCAAACAAAACATCCTGTTAATGTAGAATTTATGATCTTCAATATTCTGGTCTTTATCTAATAACATCCTCTGATTTTTACTGTTTTTATTTTGCTTTTGAAAGTTCTCAAAATATCTAATTCTGCTTTGTTCAATTTTCCTATTCAGGGTCTCCCATGACTCTTTCATATTAATGCTCACACTTTATTTTTTTGAGCAATCCTTCTTTTGTCCTTATCCATTTCTGTAAAAAGACTTTTAACCCTTACAGCATATCTGGAAGCTGAAAAAAAAAGTCTTCTGTATGAGTTGCTTATTAACTCTTCCAGTAAGTAAATGTAAATTTACGTAATCATTAGAGAAGAGTTAGAAGTTAAATACAGATAAATTTCGAACATAATAATCATTATAAAAAGTTTACAAATAAGTACTCCCTGACTGACTCAGAAACCTCTAAACAGAATACTCTCTGGTTAACCTGAGGATCTAAAAACTTATATTTAATGCTTGAGTGTTTTAAAGTACATGAGGACAAATAAAAAGAAAACAGTCATCATGCTTTGTAATTCTTTGTTAAAATGTTGACACACACTGGGTAAAAGGCACTGTGGTAAACAGGGCTTTAGAGATGTAGGGTAAGTGTGGGAAGAGGAAATGGTCCATAGTACCGTGGTCTCCATCTTCTGGCAAGTCTTGGTCCCTAAACTGTTGAACTTCACCAGTGCCTCTCACCTCCAGTTCCCTTAGAGGGCCTGGATGTCCAGAGGGAGCTGGAGTTAATTATTTCACTTCCCCAATATTGAAGGTTTACAGCCAGCTAGACTTGGGTATTTTCCTTTTCCCAGCTAGTTTGGCTATGTTAAAACTCTAGGAGGTCAGATTCTGGTAAAAGTTTCTTCAGAGGGTGGGCTTTGTTAAGAACAAAGTGCTCAGAGGTATTTCAAAATGGTTTCCATTCCCCTCCTTTTGCTCAAAGATTGATGGAATGTTTCTTCAATATTCACTGTGAAGCCCCCGTAGAGCTTTTGGAGGCAAGATGCATTTGTATGAGGTCCTCTTATGATTAAGTCCCCCTGGAATTTTTCTTTCAGATTTGTTCACACTAAGCCTCCAGGATTAATCAAAGTACAATTTAGGTTTTCCTACTATTAAACAAAAATTATGGAAGCCCATTGTTTTAGACTGAACTGTTGCATGAGACCCCAGCAGACCAGAATTAACCAAAATGGAGTCACTCTTGATAAATGTTACATAAACTGAAACTTCAAGGAAGCAGAAAGACCTCCAAAAGACCAGTTTTACCCCCAAACAGATTTCAGTCTACTTGTGTCAGTATAATAAGGAAGTCTCTTCTGCTTTAACCCTTACAAAATAATAATAAGCTGAAGTAACTTGATCTTAACCAATCATCTTTGTACTATTCTTGTTTCCTGGTTCGGACCTTACAAAACCCATTGTTCTGCCATTGCCAGGAGGGAGCTCTCCATCTAACTTGTAGAATGAAGGCTGCCTCAATTCATGAATTATGAAGAGGCCAGTTAGATCTATTTTATGGTTTGGCTCATATGTGGAAGGCGTGGTCCCCAATGCAGCAATGATTTTGGAAGGTAATTAGACCATAAGGGCTATGACCTCATCAATGGATAAATCCATTAATGAGTTCATGGATGATGGCATTTTTAGGAGGTGGGGCCAAGTTGAAAGAAGAAGGCCACTTAGGGCAGGTTCCAGAAGGATCTATTTTGGCCATGGCCTCTTCCCCACTTTTTCTGCTTCCAGGATACCATGAGGTGAATAGCTTTGCTCTGCCACAGACTCTTCCCTACTCCAGTGATGTTCTGCTTCACCACAGGCTCAGAAACAACAGAGACTAGTGACCATGAATTGAAACATTTGAAACCATAAGCAAAATAAATCTTTCCCCCTTTAAGCTGATTTTCTCAAGTATTTTATCAGTGATGAAAAGTTGACTAACACAATTCATAATTAAATTTGTTCTAACCTTGTGTTTTGGCAGTAACTGGCAATAGCTCCTATTAGTTCTAATTCTCTGCATCCACCTGTCTTCCAACTTTTGGTAAAGCAATTCACCTTGTGACCTAACTTCTCTGATAGATCTAAGAAGAGGTGATGTTTCAGTTTGTTCAGCTTTTCCCTTGTTAGGATGGAGTAACAACTCCGTACATTCCAGACTGAAAATCAGGAGTTTCTCCTTAGTTGATTTTTGTTTATTTTTCTTTGCTTTTTTCCCCCTTAATGGTTTGATTTAGTAATGTATTTATTCAGAAAGTATGTATTGAAACTTTTCTAGACAAGAAAGATACTTGGCTTTTCATAGTGCTGCTGACAATTCCATGGTGTCATCTTAGTGTTACTTCAGCTTCTTGTACTTCAGTTTTTTTAAATGACTTTTGTGGGTCAATTCTTACCTTTTCAATTATTTTCTTGGTTCTCTCAATTCTTTATCATAGGCTCCTGTTTTCTGGCCCTCTCTTCTCCAAATGCCTTTATTTCTGCTTTGTGAACTTACTGCTTTAAAAAGTTTTACAAAATTCATGTTCAAAGTATTGCCAATTTTTTTTCACATTGCAGTAGCATTTCCTTATGTTTCCTTTTTCAGAATTCCTTTTATGACATTCTGAGAGTCTCTTTTTTCCCTTATATTATAACAAATTTTTTTCTTAAGTGTGAATATATTAAATATTTCTAGAGCAATTATTGACAGGAAGATTCTCTAGCAAAAAAAAAAAATGGTTAGGGTAGCTTTCATAGTTGTTTTTGCTTTTTCTCAAGGGCATCCTCTTCTTGCAAAGTAATAAACAACAGTTTCTTTCTTTAATAGTGATGACTTCTGGTGGCCAGATTTCCTTTGATTCTCAGATATTTTCCTGTTTCAGGAGGGTGTAAGTCATTGCTGTTTCCTTCCTGCCTTAAGCCATTAGCTGGTGCCACCAAGGACGCTACCCCCCTTTTGAAGGTCTATACTCTTTCCTTGTACACTTTCCATGCCTCTTCTTCTCTGCTCGCCCAGCATTGCCTACTCACTTTGCACTCAGATGTGCCCACAAAAGTTCCTGTTGAGGGTGTGGCCCACTCCTTCTGGGAATTACTCCTTGTTGAATATGGAGAATGAGAAAAGCAGGATTTTGCTACTCCTGGGCCCTGTGGCTTTCCTTTCCTGCTATATCATGCGTGGCTTTCCACACTCATTCTGTATGTTGTTTGTTTTTTATCCAAAATTATTTGAATGAATTTTTTTGGTCTGTCTCAAAGTTTTGCAAAAGGGAATAAGTGATGAATGCTTTATTCATTCCTCTTGCTCTGTATGGTTTTAAGAGAAAAGATGGAAAGGTATCTTCCATACTTTTTCCTAAACCCTAAAGCCCTAAGTACTATTTTATCACTGAAACCAAATACCTCCACAGTGGTTCTACCATGATTCCAGAAGATGGTAATAGATAAGGATTCTTTAGAAATACAGATTCCCAGAGTTCCTACTGAAGTTGTCCTCTTAGTTTGTTATAAAGCTTTCTGAATGACTCTATGCATAGCAGGTTTGAAACCTAACTATTAGAGTTAAAAATATTTGTCAAAAGTAAGAGGAAATGCTGTAAGTAAAAGACTTTTTAAGGGAAACCTGTGCTATTAACAGCTATGTTATTGTTCTTTCCTGAATATAGTTTTCTTCTCAAAATATTCTTTGTATTTTTCTTCTGGTTAACCACAAATATCTAATTTTACATTTAGGATATATATATATTTTTTTGCACTGTAATTGAACTTGGTCTATGTCTATCTGGATTTATAAGTCTGAAATATATAATTTTAATGTCACCATATAATTGTTGTACTTATAAAAGGCAAATAATAAATAAAACATCACTGATATAAATATAAGTACATAATTATCAAGGCTGCCATGTTTGGCTATGCATTGCAAAAATAGGTTTTCGGTTCACCATAGCTCTAACATATATATACCTGTGTCTATGCTAATTAGAAATTCAACTACAACAATTTAACAAGAAAGTTATAAAAACTGTCATTAGCAATTTAATCAGTCTTTAGTCTAATCCCTAAGAACAAGGTCTGTCTTATTTCCTTTATATAACCCAAATAGCTGTTATAATATTCTGGCTACCTGGTAAAAACAATAAAAATATAAAGATTAGTTAAAGCAAGTTAATTTTGAAATTATATTTTCTAAAAAGTGAAGTATATCACTGGTTGCCTGTTTAACCATTATTATTAAAATTTAAATAAAAATCTTTACATGTACAAATGAGTCATACTGAGTTCAGGCAGTAAGGGTAAATGGTTTATGAAACAGACCGGAGAAACCATTCAATCAAAACCTATCACAAGAGTAAAGCAAGAATGATAACAAACCAAGCAAAACAAAATACACCTGACCCCTTATGCAAGTTTACTTTTATTACACATTTCACAGCGACATATTAGGTTAACTAAATGTAAAAATATCACATACTATATACATTAAACTTCAGGCAGAAGATATTTCTTTAGAAATAAAATTCCAAAGAATCTCTTAATGAAGATAGTTTAAGACTTCAAGAGTATAAAACTTTACCACTTTAAAATAAAATTTCAAAGCCAAGTCTTACATCTCATAAGAAAAAAATATTAATTGCTTCTACTCCATATTCTCACCTGTCCAACCAGTATAAGCAGAGCAATCATGAGGATCAGCTGTCTTCAGCCCTTCTTCCATCTGCTGTAGAAGATCTTTGATTTTGGTCTGGATCCGCCTCACAAAATTATGAATGATCTAAGAAGCAAAAGAAAAGATAAATTTAAGTTGCACAAGAATAGGACAATGTCATAGTGATAGTGTAAGTCACATGAACATAACAGAACTTATTTTATGTGGCCCATTTCAATGTCTGACTACCTGGACACTACCTTGACTTTTACAGGGTTAGTATCTTACTGAGATAATGCTCTATGGGTATTACAACTCACAAGTAGGTTCACAAAAAAAACTGGTATAAAATAAAAAATAAATAAATAAACATAAAAAAGATAGATTTGACTACACAAACATTTTAGCTTCTATAAGGTAAAACACATAAGATGATTTAAAAATTAATGACAAATAGAAAATACTTGCAATATAAGATATTATAAATCAAAAAAGAACATAATACCAAAATCAACCCAAATTATTAATGCATCTTACACAAAAGAAAAATCAAATGAAAAGCATATGCAAAATGTCCAATCCAGAGATGATTCATGAATTGCAAATAATTATAAGTGCCACAGTTTCCCTGTCAGACTAATAGAGAATACTTTTTTAAAAAAATATTAAATTCTAAGGCTGCTAAGAACAAAGGAAACAGTTTTTTTTTTCATTTCTGGCAGTCATTCCCAAGAGAAATACACAACATTCTTTTTTTTTTTTTTTTTTTTTTTTT